TCTCAAAATGACATAGCAAATCTTTTCTTGTTGGTATACCATGCGCTTGAGCCTACCACATTGTTTATCAGCTCCATAATCAGTTCAGTGGGTGCATGGCGAATCACAAACAACCGACAGTTTTGAAGTGTTCACCTGCAGTTTTCCAGTGTCCTTTTGCATATCGGTATCAATAATTACCGGATAAAACAATGTTTTTTGTACTACATGGTGATTTTCTTCAACAGTAATTTGGTTGAACAGTAACTATTCTACAAAAAAAAACATTATTCCGCGATTCCTAATCGAACTATTTTATAACTTCGATCTTCCCAAGTGCCCACTGATGACTACCAATGTAGGACCAATCGGAAACACAACTCTACTAGGTGTGTCTGAGGAAAAAGACCTCGGTATAATTGTCAGCAAGGACTTCCAGCTCACTAAGCAATACCCATGTGGCCATCAAAATAGCTAGAGGTGTACTTTTCAGACTATGTATCACGATCACTTGTAGAAAACCAGTGATGTTCCTTCCATTGCACAGCGCAGCGGTGCGTTCACTGTTGTAGCACTGTTTACAAGCCAAGACCCCAGACTACCGCAGAGTTGCGGAGTGTCTGGACAGAGAGAATGCAGTAACTGGCTACCGGTTTATGTAAAAATTGAATTTGTCCTCGTCATTACGCCGAAGAAACAGGAGTGACTTGGTAGAAACTTTGAAAATCTTTCCGAGGTTAGTCCGGTATAGAACTGAACAGCCTTTCCGTCCCTACTTTAAAGTGTGGCAGGCACTAGGAGGCCAGGCCTTAAGCTATTCAGAGAACACTGCAGGCTGGAACTAAGAGCCAAATTCTTCCGAAACCGAGTGGTACCTGTATGGAATGGATTACCCGAGAACGTCATAAGCTGCAAACCAGTAGCGGATTCCGAAAAAGCCATGGATCTGTGCTGAAACATAGTGTGTCGAGCAACCGGCCCCTCAAAAGAAGTGATATGGGAACAAGAAAAGTAAAAGCAAAACGAACAAATCACGGGCAGTGTGTTTGATGTGAGCGCAACTCACTGGCAACACAACGATCTGGACGCCCGATCTGGTCTCGAACACTTCCGTCCTGTGAAACCGGAACTGAACTGACCTGAAGTGAACATCAAATTACCTGGAAAATCGTGACCGGTCAAAGTTGATTAGATTGCAAATGAGTTCAGTTGACCAGCTAGGTACCGCCTCTGAAGCGAATCCGCGTAGCAGGTCAAATTACTCAATCCTGTGGCCTTTGCCATTGGAAAATCAAAAACAATGATCTGGAAAAGTGGTTGAATAATCCTGGAAATACCAAATTCGCCATGCGGGTGACATATGCGCTTGTATTAGGAAATGATGAATACTTACCAGAGACCGGCACTCGTCCGGAGCAAATGTGCACATACACACACACACACACACACAGAATCACTCGCAGCGGTGGCATATTCTCCATTTTTCA